ATAAATCATCCGTTTTTTTTTTTTTTTGAAAATTGAAAATTAATCATGTTGATTTGTAATGAAAGTTGATCAGTTTGTTCATTTAGGAGGACAGTTTCGTCAGAACGCAGATCCACTGTAACCATAGAAGCCTTACTCACGAATTTAAGCATGATGATTCCGAGCTTTCTGTATCCACGCGTCAAGATGCTCCTTTATTTCTGGTCGAGGATCGACTCGGACCTCTCGTACTTATACAGATCTTGTTGGTGCTGTAAAAAGGAAACCCGTCTTCGTGCACGAGTAGGGAATCCAAGTCCCTACACGACTTTGCATTCCGCCTGGACTTTAGGGGCGGGACTTATCCTTTACCTTGAACCGCTGTGAAAAATCCTAAGGAACATTCTTTTCGACTTCTAGCTCGATACTACAGTCGAACGATCTTGCAATATATTCGACTATTTATTGCCAAAAAGGATTTCGAAGACGAAAGCTCTTCGTACATTTGAAAATTTCGATAATGATGATATACGCTCGCATCATCTGATTTTGCGTCGAAAGAAGTCTTCTACGAAGAACGACGAAAAATAGTAATCGTCGTAAGGCGTAAAAGTCGAGAAGTGAGCTGAGAGATAATAATAAATATCATCGTGTTTATATCACAGTAAGCACTGGTTGACACAATGAAAGCTCCTGTGATGTAATATGTCGGCATCGAGATACCGATGAAAATTGCCTTCCACGATTATCGATACGTTGAATCTTCCGTTCCCGGATTTTTCAATTAAATAACAATAGTGTTTTTATCGAACATTGAATTTTTTTTTAGTATCATTGGATATCGGAGGACGTAGAAATTTACTTAGTTTTGGAATTCTTTTGTCCGATTTAATTTTATCACTGGTTTTATGCTAGAGAGAATGCAAAATGCGAAATTAAGAATCGTAAAACACTTTAACGCATTGCACGTAAACTTGAGGATACCATTTGAGGGTTGATCACCTATTAAAAGTTCCCGGAAAGGAAGACAATGCAAATATAAATTTTCGCGTAAAACACGGTGTCGATAGCTGTAGGCGAGGAAGGGATAAGGGCGTGCCTGCTTGGACGACAAAAATCAAGTTTATAATTGTAACCGGTTGGCGGGTTGCTTGTCCTTAAACTCGAGGCCAGGCAAACTACCCAGGAAATTTCTCGAATGTTCAAAATCCTCCTATATTTTCCTCCTTTATCTCGCGTCATTTCAACTGGTTCTATATTTTTCAAGTACAATTGCAATCTTCAATTGAACTTCAACTCCAGCATCTTTAAATCTAATTTCGAAGCTCGTGCGACAAACCAAATATTATCGAAAAAGCCTCGACAACTTGTCCAACATCGTCCTTCCAACTGAGAAGAATAATTTTAAAAAAGCACAAATAAAAGGATAAATTAGGAAGGAACCATGCTAAACTAGGAGACAAGGAAAAAGAAAAAGAAACAACGGCATCTTTAAAATTGAAAATTAGCAAAAATTTATTGAAGATAATTAGCCGATAGCGTCGATTCTCGATTCGTGTCCGGATGCCAGGTGAAACGATCCTCGGTCATCGACGCGAGTCGTTGAGAGCGCACGGTCGACTAGAGCTGCTGCTGGCGATGTGGACCCGTTGTTTTCATCTTGGTGTTTTACGAACTTGGCTCACTCAGTATGCGACGACCGGGGCGTGTGCGAGGACGGTTGTGGCTGGTGCAGCGGCGACGATGGGAGCGGCGGTCTTGACGACGGCTGCGGTCGCTACCGGAGCTGCGATGTAGGGAGCTGCGGCCACTACCGGGCTCCTCACCGAGAGTTTGTAGGTGTTGGCGTAGCTGGTGGCAACGGGCACGGTGTGAGCTACCGCGAGAGGTGCCGCGGCGACGAGAGGTGCAGCGTGGTATGCTGCCGGTGCGGCGGCCAAGAGACCTGGCGCAGGTTCCGGTGCCGGGGCGGCCAGGGCACAGGCGAACAGAGCGAAGAGAGCGACCAGTTTGTGCATGGTTGCGGTGGATAGTCGTGCGGTTGCTCGACGGAGAAGAGATATAAAGACTTTGAGAAGGTTCGTGCTATAACAGCTGAGATCGCTGAGAGCCGAATGATGCTTGACTAGCAGAGTCGCTACCCTTTTATCCTCCCGAGTTGACCTCTCCCACCTCGTGCTTCGATCATACAGTTACCCAACACCTACTCCTGATTCGACTAGCCCGAACAAGACTATTCTACCACTCTTCCCACTACCTTCGGTTACTAGAAAGATTCAGGGTCCTTTCGTTTCGGTTCGCACACCATGTGGGGAGAACATTGCCAAGGACAATGGAGATCTTGATCTGGATCCGCGTGCAACGTACTCGAAACGTTTCGACGTACTTTTCTTTCTCTCTCTTTCTCTTTTTTTTTTCTTTTTTACGCTTTGGTTACACACCAACGACGTGAACAACACCGTGAATACTGTGACCAACACCGCTTCTTTCTTATTTCTATCGGCATCATCATCTCGGCGCTCGAATCTAGTTGATTCAGAATCAGCACACCCTCTACGAAAAGTTGCTAACTGTATCCATCGGCGATTATAGGATCTATCGGGGCGACGTCTATAACCAGCGAATATCCTTCGTATTTCGAGATAATTTCAGTTAGTTAACCGGATCGTTCGTTAATTAATACACGCAAGTCCTGTCCCGTAATCCAGTCTCTATTTCCACGCTAACGTAACGTGCCAATACCGATGGGAGTTAATGCCGATACCGATTACGTTAGCCATCGAGCATCGGACGCGATTGAGTAACTAGTAAACATACTGGTAAGCCGTATGTTTCAAACGCCCACTAAGCGGTCGTAACGAAACGCGCCGCGACGCGTCAGTTTAGAGGGAGGCCGCGTTGCACCAGGTTAAAGGCGAAAGAAACGGGACGTTTGACGTTGTTGTGACACCGTTGCTTGGCGAAAGCAAGGTGACGATCACCTTGATTCCATGCGTGCACATTCACGCACAATTCGCCAGATGCTCGGCTTCTTTCCGGAACCAGTCCACCTCATCTAAATCTTTCACCCGCCCTTCCAACTCCCCGCGCTCTGCTCTCTTCTTTTCAGTCTCATTAATCTTTCTCCTCTGTCAACGACTAGCCGCGTATTTCGTGGCAAGGTCGCGTTTCGTAAACGCGTCCCGAGCTCTTAACGCCGCCGCCGGTGAACGCCATCCGACACGAAATTCGTCCTCCACGAGCTTATAGTTTCTTTTTTTTTTTTTTTTTTTT